CTAGCTACCTTTCTAATTGCCAAGCCCTGTGGAGGACATTGGTTATTATGATGTAGTTAGTCAGCAAGCATGCAGATACAGCTATATGTAAGTATAGGTTAGTAAGTTTGTAAATTTGTTGTTTTATTTTTTCTAAGTTTAGGAGTTTAAGAATGTAGAATTTGAATATTATTTACTTTTTTCTTTTGAGTAAATTAGGTATAGTATAGTTTCCAAATTAATTCATGTATTTGTGAGTTGAGTTTGAGAAGTAGTTTGATTATAATTTGTGATGCTATTTGTGAAGTACTAACAAAAGATTTGATAGTATCGATTAGTGAGTATAATATTAGTTCTTTGAGAGTAGAAAGTAGAGATATAGAGTTATGAAATTGAGTAGATAATTGTAGTAAGTAATAATTTGTAATAAAGTTGTTCAGGGTATTGAGTTCATATTCTGAGATTTCTAGGTTAGTTGAGTTTAGTAGTTGTGTAATTGATTGTTAGATAATTTGAAAAAGAAGAGTTGCATTAAAGTATGATATCTAGTGTAGTTCATAGTCTACTTTATTGCAAATAAAATATCTGTTAGTAATAGTATTAGAATAAAAAGTGTGAAGATGAGTTGGAGTAGAAAGTTCATTGTGAAGAAGTTTAACTCTAAATATTTTAAATTTGCTTAGTATAAAGTTAGTAAAGTTATATAATTTTTTGTTGTTATTATTGATATATAGCCATATTAAGTTCTAGTCAATTTGGTCAGCAACTAGATTCCAGAATTGGTTTCTATATAGTGATAACTATATTGCAATAATATATGCATTGCATATATTTTTAACAAATTTGCATGTTAATTGTTCTACTAGAAAGTTTTGCTATTTAATATAATAGTATAGGTTATAGATATTAGAGTAGTTGAATATAATATATTAGAAATGATCATAGTTTTGTGCTAATAAATTAGCTTTATTATTGAAAATGTCATTTCTATGTACTTGAACTTTGTTTAAGTTGAGAATAAGGTTAAATGATTTAATAAAGTTTAGTAATATATGCCAAATAGACCAGTTGTTGAAGGAAAGAATATGTGATAGGATAATAGCTTTTTGGATTAGCTTTTAGTATTTGCTAATAACTAATTAGGAGTCAGTAAATATATTAATTTTGTAATTACATGTTATGTACTAATTGCTGATAGTATAGCTAGGAGTTCTGCTTTGTATGATGTTGGCTAGTAGTTTATTTGTGCTGTAAAGGAATATATAATTAATTCATTATTTGTTTGTATCCAGCTAATCTCTATAGAGTATTAGTTAGTTATAAGATTACAAACTGAGCTATCTGTGTAAATTGTAATTTCTGTATAGCCTGAGTTTGAGATAGCAATTTGGTTTAGTTCCTAAAAGATAGCATTGTTTTGGAATATATTAAGTACTAAGAAATCATTTATTAGTATAGAGAGTAATGGTAAGATATATATTAGATTTCTGTTAGCTATTATGTAGACAAGATCTAAGTAGTTGGTATTTAGTTTTATTGATATAGGGATGCTGCCTATAAGTTTTCTACCCCAGAATTTAGTTGATAGAGTTGCAGATATATTAAAAATGTAGTAGTTTTGAATTCAGTTGGAGTTAAGATTGCATCTTGCATATAGTCTGCATTCTATTAAGGTTTAAGAATAGTAGTATATGGTAGTAGAATAATTAATATTATATTGCTAGTATATCAGCAGAAATATGAAATTGAGCCTTTTTTTAGGTAACCAAAAATTAGTTATTACATAAGCACAGAAGTTATTTGATCACAAATAATCTATTAATAAAAACAAAAATAACACCAATTTTTTTTTTTAAATATTACTAAAGTGCGTCACTGGTGTCTAACCAATTTCTCCAACCTTCAACCAATTTCTTATTTTGAAATTAAAAGCAATTGCAAGTAATTACAAGTGAATTATTAAAATAGGTAGGTTAGTTCAAAAAATATATATAGCAGTATTTAAAAACTAATTTAACTTTAAAAAACTATTTGTATATAAATAGTTATTTAACATGATCCTCGAACGTGTTTTATGCCCTCTCTGTACTAATAAGACCTTTTAAAATTCTCATAGCTTACATATTCATTACTCAGCTATTTATATTACAAAAAAGATTTCAGCATACAAAGCAAATGACCATATTACATATACACTTTGTCTAAAAAAAAAATATAAAAGTACTCAAGGTCTTCGTTAACATGAAACTCTTCAACATCCTTATTATAATACTCCTGCTTCTAATCTTCTTGATCTCCCACAACAACATATTGATGAGATTAAAGAAACTTTAGTATATATAATTCAAACACAACTTAAAATAAATACAACAAATGCTAGATTTTAATGTGTTTCAATTCCATGTATAGAATCAGAATTTGTAGGAATTTTTTGAGACTTTATAAGCTGCTATTCACCTAGTAGTAATCAGTATTTATGTATATTTTAAGGGCTTAATACATATAAGACATTTAGCAAACTTTTAAATCAGTCTGATTGGGGTATGCAAAAATATCAACATGGGCAAGAAACACAAGTTGTACTAGTTGGTGAGTTATTTGAAGAATCTTCAAAACAAATGCAACCTCAAAAAACTAAAGATAAATGCAATAAGAAAGATACTTCACAACTGACTATTGAATAGAAAAGAAGGATAATTATTGATTATGCTAATAATAAATCATTTAGTAGATAGATAACTATTTGATTTACTATAGATCAATTGTATTATGGGTCTTTTTAAGTCAAATTTATTGTATATACTGCGAACAGGCAGTTTGGTCATCAGGACCAAACCAATCCTATAATCAATCAGCAACTAGACGACCATATTAAAAAAGGCAGTTAGATTTAGCAGGCAGATGTTCTAAAGCTTAGATCATCTTTTCTACTACTGAGAGACAGGTCAATTATCACTTCAGAGGGAAGTACGCTAATTATGGATTAATCTACGGACTTCGCAAAGATAATTCTACTATGCCACTTAGTAGAATATTAGGGGGTAATTAAGGAAGGTATGAGTTGGGTAGTAGGAATTATTCAATAAAGAACTCCATTGTTTTTATATGCGAACTTGGGAGTTGTTCTCCTCTATGGGCCAACATAGCCTTTATTTATAATATAAAATTTGTATATAATTTATTACATTTATGGCAGATATGCTATTTATCGCAGATATGACATTTAATCCATATATTCCATAAATCAGATATATGCCATATATTGCTTAAAAGCAATATATCTGATATATATCAGATATAGCAGATATGTAATATATGTCATATATGCAATTTATGCAATATATGCAATTTATACAATGATCATCCTCGTGATCTGTAGTTACATTATATAGTGTATCATTCTGAACTCAGCCTAACTACTTCTCAGGTCTTACATTTCTCCTCTGCTTATTTATACCTCTGGTATTAAATCTTTAAAACCAAAGATCAGCAACAAAAGTTTATTAGACAATTTGAATACCACTGTATATCAGGTATTTTAAACTTTAAACTACAATTACTACAGTACGTCAAGTAACTAAAACTCAATCAATAACTACAACTAACCACAGTACATTAGGCTAGTTGGACTTAAAGACTATGGTTAATCTTAGTACATCAAGATTAGCCAGACAAGTTATTAGATAAGTATTATAAACAAGTTAACAAAGAATATACTGTTATACCACTTTAACAGTATTCTTCAGTTCAGGTATGTTTACTACAATATGTATGTATTAGATTTACAATCTCTAGTCTTCCTAATCATATGACTCCCTTCATTGTTTTTAGCCATCTCTTCTCTTTTTGCATAGTACTTATTAAACTCGCCAGTACCAGGCTATGTCATGTGACTTACAGATCCCTCGAGTTGGCACTCTTAACTCCGAATCTAGTCATCATCAATATTATAGTATTAGAGAGGTTGTCGAATCTACTGTTCTATCTCATAGTCACCACCAAATATGAACAAGTGGTTTGGTCACTGGGACCAAACTAATCCTATAATCAATCAGCAACCAGATGACCATATCGAAAGAGGTGGTTAGATTTGGCAGGTGGATGTTCTAAAGCTTAGATTGTCTTTTCTACTGCTGAGGGACAGGTTAATTATTACTTTGGGGAGGGAGGGGTACAGTAATCATAAATTAATCTACGGACTTCGCAAAGATAATTCTACTATACCACTTAGTAGAATATCAGGGGGGTAATTAAGGAAGGTATAGGTTGGGTAATAGGAATTATTCAATAAAGAACTTTATTGTTTTTATATGCGAACTTGGGAGTTGTTCTCCTCTATAGACCAACACAGCCTTTATTTATAACATAAAATTTGTATACAATTTATTACATTTATGGCAGATATACTATTTATCACAGATATGACATTTAATCCATATATTTCATAAATCAGATATATGCCATATATTGCTTAAAAGCAATATATTCGATATATGTCAGATATAGCAGATATATAATATATGGCATATATGCAATTTATGCAATATATGCAATTTATGCAATAATTATCCTCATGACTCATAGTCACGTTATATAGTATATTGTTCCGGACCTAGCCTAACAACTTCTTGGGTCTCACAATACTTTAGAATTAACAAATTAAAAATAAATATTTGATTTTATAGAAAAATTTTTTTTCTTGTTAATTTTTGAAACA